CTAGATCTTTCCTGCTGAGAAGAGGGAGCCATTAACCTTTTAGTAAAAGATACTCGGTGTCACTGAAACTAGTACTTACTCTGTTTCATCTCTGCAAAATGGACAATAAATATCTTGTATATTTAACTGTTGAAGCACTTTAGCAAAAGGTTTTCATCTGAACAGCTTCTTGATGAATTTTTGTTGTCTTTTAGAAGGAAAAGAACAATAAAGCAAAGCATTTTTAGCCACTTATGGGTTGGCCATGAATAATTGCCTACTTGTAGCATGTTTAGATTTCTGGTAGGAAAGTCCCAAACAATGGTTTGGGCAAAAACTCATCTTTTATAGCTTGTGATTGGAGTTACAAGGGTTAACACATGATATGCTTGCAAAAGACTTAAGGGATACTTATCCCTCTTTGTCAATGCATGGTTAAAAAGTTCATGACTAAGCTGTTAATACTTAATATGGCACAGGAAGTTTTCATTGCAGTTAGGGATTTTTTGTGGAACGAGATTTTAAAACTGATCTTAATTATGTTTCAATGCTATTTTTACAGTTATATGATATATTTCTTTCTCTCTGTTTTTTTTTTGGCAATGATCACGAGCTTTGGCAATTGGCACCAACTTCTCGTCTGAACTTTTTTCCCCTCTCATTTTTGTTTTGGTTTCACTTTAAGGATTATGATAAAATCCATGATTTGTTGCTGAGGCCTTTTTGTAAAAAAAAAACTCAAATTCTAATATGCAATTATTATTCCTTTTTTATGAGACAAAGTAAACTGAACTTGAGTTTAATATACACAGGGCTCCAGATGGATACAGGTGATCAAAGAAAAGGCGAGTATGCTCCTAGAAGTGATTCAGAGAACCCACTATTGGGAAAATTTGACAAGCCACTTCCATGTTTTGGCTGTGGAATTGGATGGTTCTCGTGAGTAATTTTTTCCATATTTGCTCCTTTCTTAAATTCTTCTGCTTGCATGATATGATTTTTGCATTTTCTCCTCCCCTCTCCTTTTTTTTTGCCAGTTTTCTGCTAGGATTTGTTTGCCCACTATTGTGGTACTATGCGACAATTCTCTACTTCGGAAATTACTATCATAAGGATCCAAGAGAACGAGCCGGGCTTGCTGCTTCTGCAATTGCTGTAAGTCTTATGCTTAAGAATAAATATACATTTATGTTTAGCTTATTGCTCTAAGTCTTGTGCTTAAGAATAAATATACATTTATGTTCTGCATATCCATTGTCGAAAATTGAAATTGCCAAACATTGCAGGCTCTTTGATTTATATACTGTTGTTTCATTTGCCATATCAAGTCTTGTATATGTTGTCATTGGAGTGATTGTTTTCTTGTTATTGTTTTAATACATTTTTATTGGTGTTGCAGGCTCTAGTTTTCACAATTGCTGCGGTGATAACAGTAGCTGTTATTGTCTTGTAATTTTACTTTCCACTAACCAATCTCTAGCTAAAGATAAAAAATGAAAATATAATATCGCCCCTACATGAGGAAGGCAAGGCTGATTCAGGCACGGTGGATCAAGCTCTTGTGATCACTTTTGAACATCAAGAAAATAGGCAGCAAAGCACCTAAGCCAGTTCCATTATGTTGACATGCAGCTGGTTTTGTTCCAAAAGATGATGGAATTGTGTATATAGACAAGGATGATGTAATTCGGATTTTATCCAAAAGATGGTTCAGTCTATTTAACTTATTTTGGTGTGTATGATTCTTGCGATTGGTAATTAGTTGCTATCATTATCATTATTAGAATAACAAGAAAGTGAAAATATACTGCTGGTGGTATTTGACCATATGAAAGCGTGGTTTTCTGTGTTGTTCCTTCCTTAAATTTCTGTTTGTTTTCATGTACCAATAGAGATGACGAAAGTGGGAGATTACAGAAAGAGGTAACGTAGAAAATAAACACTTCATCGATTTGGGTACACAGAGAAGAACATAGGGGGGAAAGAAAAGTTGGTGGACCACAAAATTATTTTCTTTAGAGAGAAGAGAATAAGAGAGAAAACTAAGGACCCCTTTTGTAAAACAATTTTACTTTACTCAGTAAACAATTTTTTGACTCTCATCATGTTTTGGTTTCAAAAAGCTGTTTTCTAAAATAAATTCATAATGCACAATAATCTACTACTCTTTTAAAATAAGTTATGAACATCTCTTGTAGGAATAGTAGGGGCATGAGTAACAAAAGTTCCGTCGGTCTTTTGAAGGATATTCAGAGCTTTTATATTATCTTCCAATTTCACGGAAAATCATGCTGATACGGATAAAGCTAGACAATGTATTCTTAAATAAGGCTTTAATGCAGAAAACTTGAAGGCGAACTAACCAGGAATTGAATCCTAATTCTTGTAAATGCAGAAAATTTAAGATAAGAGAAAATGTCCGCCTATTTAGTATATGTCAAACTGATTAAAGATATTATTTTTGTATTGGACGAAAAATACTTTTGGGAAGTGAACCAAAAATCAAGTGATTAGAGATTAAATTTTGACTCTTGTGAATGTATAAACTTTAAGTTAGGAGGAGATTCATCTATTTTGTGTGTGTCAAACTCGTGAAAGAGATTTTTCTCCCGTTTGATAGAAAATATTCTTTGATAATGAAAAAAAATAGGCTTTAATGACTTTTTTTGGGTGGTTGAATCTAGGGGTTAAGTAGGTGAAGAAGAATATTTTCATGTATATTATTTCATGACAAAACTATGCACAAAATATATAGTCATCAATTACAAAGTGAGAAAGCTAAAAAAAACTAAAGTAACTTTGTCCACATATTTGTGTTAAGTCTCATTTCTACTTATTTTTTGTTACAAATTTTTGAGCAATTTCAACTCCTTCATTCAATCTTACATAATATTTGTTCTTTTTTTGATTCAAAGTTTTGTGCATAGATAGCTAACTTGAAAATCATCTAACAATATCTTGATACACCTCATTTTTGTGTAGATATTGAGTAGAAGAGTTTGATGTTGAGGATATGTGGGATTGGAGTTTGAAAAAGCCAAAAATAAAGAGCTAAAGAGTAGGAGAAAACAATTTGCGTCGGACTTGTGCATTATTGTGTCGGGCATGCTTATGACAGAGAGCACCACTCTTTGAATTTCATTATTGTGCCGGGTGCGTATGTACTTGCGTCGAGCGTGATTCAAGGTAGAGAGCAACAACTCTCTAGAAGACTTAGTGCCGAGCGCGAAGTTATATTGCATTGGACGCATAAACTCTATCCTGACTCATCCAGCTCATATTTGAACACATTTTTGAGAGTTTCTATGATATTCACACAGATTGTGACTTCTAGGAGCTGTGGAAGGGATTCCTTGTGCTTAGGATCGTGCTGTGTATGGGTCTTTCCTTCGATTCTTTCATCTCTATTTTTGATTTACCCTCATAGTTTTGAGTGGTTCTACCCAATTTTTATGGAGTTAGATGTAACCAACTAAACTCTTATATATTGTTTATTCTATTAATGATAAATGTTTGTTTCATTCATTATTGTATTATGTTTCTATTCATAATGCTTGCTCTGGATTGATCTTCCATTACTTGATATAGGGTTCATTGGGTGTTGGAAAACAACCCTTAAAACTAGCTTTGGAACCAAATACCTAATGGAAAATATGTCTAGGAATGGAACTTAACCCATTAGTAGTCTCAAACCCTAGCCATTAATGTGGGAGCATAGGTTGGGTACTTAAGGGATTGATATCCAATGTATGTTCGTAGGCTCTCTCTCTAAGGAATTAGGTAAGCATAGTTATGGGTTGACTAAATAGTGTTTGCAACAAGAGAAACATTAATGCATAAGAGTATAGTTTGGTGAGGTCTAACCCCGCAATTCTATAATTCCATAATATCACCTCTTTGTCTTTTCCATACATAACTATTTTCTAAAATTGGTTTTATACGAGTTTATATCATTTAAATTCCATTTCAACACATACTATAAAATGGAATCATTCTTTAGTCACTAATAGTCATTAAATGCTTATTTTACCTTATCTAATCCTTGTGGATACGATCTTTATTAATACTTGAATGACCGATGCACTTGTCATGTTTTTTGAGCCCATGGTTAGCTTGTCATGTTTTTTGAGCCCATGGTTAGTAATTCAATTACATTTAACAAGGAAGGAAGCTAACCCTAAATGGAGACTCAACAATTTGCTAATTACAATTTCCAGATTTATAGAAAATTAAATCCTTGGTTTACGAGAAAAATATGAATCCCTTAAATTAAGCAAAAAAATATTTCAACACACCCCCTCAAGTTGGTGCATAGATATCTGATATGCCCAATTTGGTCACAGTCTTTGAGAACACTTGAGATGAAATTACTTTAATCAAGATATCTACCAATTGATTCTCTGATCATATTTTTGATAGCTTCAGTATCTTCTCATCCAATTTATCCTTTATGAAGAATTTGTGTACTTCCACATGGTTTTTCAAGTGGATAACCCAAATTTGATAAGAGAAATATTAGCCATAGTGTTTCACATAGCCCAAGAACCAACCCTTTAAGTTCAACTTCTGCACTTGAATGTGCAATAATATTTTTTTTTTAATTCTCCATGTGACAAGGTTACCTCCAACAAAGGTAAAGTAATCTAAAGTAGATCTTTTGTCATCTATAGGTCTAGTCCAACCAGTGTAAGTATATACACTCACTTTAATTATTTTCATTTTTTGAGAACAAAATTCCTTAGAGTAGATTTTAAACATCTCAAAATATGCATAACAACGTTCAGATATTTTTCTCCCAAATTATGCATAAATTGACTAACAATACTCAAGGCACAAGCAAGGTCTAACCAACTAGGGTTCTAATTGGCAAATGATTCTAACCAACAAAAAGTTGTGTGAAGTGTCATCGTATGAAGTGTCATTAAAACCTTAAATTTGATGGGTGTTACAAGAAATATCTTTTCTTCCCAACATCATAAACTCTTAACTATTTAAGTAGAAAGTAACATTATTAAGGATTTTAGATAAATATATTTTGATTGTAAAAATAAAAAATTGATAATGATATTTGAATAATGAAAGTTTAAACTTGTACTAAGAGAAAATTGTAAAATTAACTTTCATTTATTTATTTTTAATCTAAATATAACTTTTTTAACTTTTGAGGATTAATATGGAAAGGTCTTTGGTTCAAATTTTATTATTATTATTATTATAAATAATAATAAAATAATAATTTTTAAAATAATAATAATTGTTATCGCTGATTAATTAAATTAGAAAAAGTTAAATGTTCCATCGCACGTGCCTAACATGTTACATCATAATAGGCATATTTGAAAATTTGGGGCAAAAGCATCGAACAATATTTAATGGATGTTCTTACTTACGACTTATTTAACCGATTTCTTTCCTTATTTTTTTAAACTCTTCCTCTGTATGCTTTTACAGTGAGCTAAGCTAATCACTGTCGAACATTTTTCCACCATCATGCCCTTCTCTCTTTCACCGATAACTTTACTACAGATTAACAACAACCACTACCACCAGATTTTTAATAGTGTGTTTGGATAAGAAATTTTACAAATTCAAAAAATTTTAAATTTTTTGTATTTGAATTACTTTGATTTCAATTTATATCATTTTTAAAATATTTTGTTTGGATGAGTCTATTCAAATTTCTTAAATTTTAAATTGTTAGGTTGAATATGATAATTTGATTCCTGATTTTAAAAATATATTTATATATTGAGATTTTTAAATTAAATTTTATAAAAATAAATATTAATCCATTTTAAATATTTAATAATTTTAAAAAGTAATGTTAGATAATATTTAATATTTTTAAAAATTAATATAAGATAATATTTAATAATTTTAAAAATATTTTTGAATATTCAATAATTAAAAGGATGAAGAGATAAAATAAAATATATAGGTGAAATAAGAAAAACAAACATGAGAAATTTCAAATTCTCCCATTTTTAGGAGAATTTGAAATTCTACTATTTTAAGGAATTTCACAAATGCTTGAATTTCAAATTCTTTGTAAATTCTTCATCCAAACAAAACATTTCACCTCAAAGAATTTGAAATTCTTCAAATAAATGAATTACCCTATATAAATTCTTCATCCAAACACACCATAAGGGTTTGTGATCTTCTGATTTAGGTTCACAATTGCAATTTTGCTAAAGTTTTTCATCCACACATTTCACCATTTCTCTTTGGTTCGACAATCATCACAGCACAAACATTTTAAATTAAATTTAAAATTTCTATTATAAAATAAATTATTTTTCCAATTAAAAATAGCCAATCATCGATAAATTTCTTATATTATGGGTGAGACACACAACAAACCACTTCATCCTAAAAACATTTAGGAATTTTAATTGAAAAAAGTTCTAACATGAAACACCTTATTAGCATGGGTATAGTAAGCACACGAAGAAGTTTTTAGGTGATTCAATTGATGCCAGTAGTAATCAACCCTAAGATATATAGAATATTAAATTCAACTGTTGAAATTATTTGCTATTAATTAGTATGTCCTTATTAAAAAAAAGTGAATTGTTGACTATTTGTAAAGCTTTTTTTGGAGGCCACGATTTTTTGGACCCCAAAATTGGTGTCTTTTGCTGACAATGACTTCTTCAATGAGATTCCGGTTGAGGTATCCTCCTCAAGATTTCTCCTCCACTTCTTGCAACAAATATTTTTTTATATCAAGTCTCAATATTGATCACGTATTTAAAGAACAATGTTATTTTAATTTAATTTAAAATTTTAACTTCAAAAGTTAAATGCATAATTATATTAAAACTTTAAAAGAAAAATTTTATCACTTGAAATAATCTTATTTATCTTAAATAAATTAATCTTTTATTAAAAAAATACTTTTAATCTCTAAATATACTAGTAAAAAGAAAAAGTTTGTGATAAAACAAAAATTTCTATAAAAAAAAATGGCCAGTTTGTGTGTGTTTGCTAATAACCATTTTTTTAATATGCTTTTTCTTTTTTAAATTATTTCATGAGGTTAAAAAACTATAAATTGCTTTTTAAAAAGTTGAAACGAAATACTCACTATATAACAATTCTTTTTAAAAAAAGTGCAAGCAGTTGTGACCACTTTTAGTGTCACATAACTTTTTATATAAAAGACTATTATTTTTATATAAAATGTTTGATACCATATTCAATATTATATACAATTATCTTTATTTATTACATATATATTTTATCCTTCATATTTACATATCTGAGAAATATTCACTTTAAATTAAAAGTGATAATAAAGTAATTTGAAATACTTTGAGAATTTTCAATATATCATTTCACTTTTTCTTCAGTATATTCAAAAAAAAAAATAACAAAAGTTGTTCTACTTTAATTTTACGTAAAAAAAATATTTTCATCCTCTAACTTTATTTATGTTTCAATTCGGTATTTTTTTTATAGTTTTTCTTTAATCTTCTCTAACTTTTTATTGTCCATCAAATCCGTCTTTCTCAATCTTCTTTTGTTAAAAAAAAAAAGCTTTTTATTTTATTATCTTTTTTATCAACTCTGTTAATTCGATAAACGATGCTCATTTGTTCTCCTACATAATTTATGTCATTATTATCTAGTTCTTTTCTTTTTTCTTATGTAGATTAGTGAAATTAGACTTAAATAATGACATGGTTAATTAGACCGTCTACATTTGTTTTTATTTGTCTATTTTGTTTTTTAATAACAAACTGATACTTTATTTCAATATGTTTCTTATTTTCAACTATTCGTAAAAAAATTATTTTCTTATTTTCTTTATAAATTTTGAAAACAAAAATAAAAAGATAATAATTTTGTAATTAAAAAAATGAAAATATAAAATGATAAGAGAAAAAGAAAACACAAATTAAGGGTCCTATTTAATTAGTGGGGGGCAAATAAACCCTAATAAAAAAACTATTGTAAAAAAATATAAGAATCCAATTAGTTATATAGTTGATCATTAATATCTCTATAGCCCCCACTATTTCATTTTCTAAACTAGAACAACCACAAAATTAAATCTTTTGAATCATTGTTGTTCTATAATTTATTATGGTTAGATTTAAAAAAAAAAAATATACAAAACAATCATAAAAATTTAGGAATTGCTTATTTCATTTTTAAAATTATAAAACATAAAAAAATTTGATCTCATTTTAACATAAATTTATATAAAATAACTTTAGATTCAATTTCAAATCCTAATTAGTAAGAAAAAAATAATTAAAAAGATACCATTTAAAATAATAAAACTTCTCATGTAAGATACCATTTATGACAAAAATGCAATATCCTAAACTTAATGAAAGAAGACAAAAAAAATCCAATTTTCTCACGTACCAAACCAAAGCCACTCCCAAACACGACATGCTCGAGCCTCCATCTCCAAAACCAAAATTCTCAAACATCCAATCCCAACATCACACAACTCATACCTTCTGTCACACTCAATCTATGTTCCACCTTAACCATACATAGATTTGTTTTCCCCAAACTCCGACTATCACCATAAACTATGCTAGAATTCAAAATCAAATATTGTACATGAGATGCGAAAGGCACACATATAATCATTTGCTTAGCTAGGGTGTTGAAAGTAGTATTATACACTAATAGTGTACAAGTAACATTTCCCTGTCTGATCAATAATAATAAACTGTTTTGTTTCGGCATCCTTTTGCAGCTGAAATAGAATCTGCTTTGTTTTAGCACAAACAACAAAACTTTCGACTTCTTGTTACTTCAACACTAATCACTAGTCACGTAACGCGCTTTCTTCCAAGACGTGTATGGCCACTATTTAATTATTTGTTTCTTTGCTTTTTTGATCATTACCAGCTACGTTCAAATAAAACTGCATGACCATGCACTTCAAATCACAGCTTATAAAAATGATGATTTTTTTTAAATATTTTTTATTGTTTACTCCTCTACGCTAATTACTTTTTACTATCGATAAAATATCCTAATCTCTTGAGTTAATATATCCATCTTAATGAAAAATATACCTATCAGAAACTATTAAGGAGGTATAACTCATTTTTACGATCTCTCCAAATATAAGGTACTAACTATCTCCTTAATGTTGGCTACGTTAAGGAGGAAAATAGAGAAAAAAAAGTATTTGCATTCAATTCCATTCCATTTACACGATTCAGAGAATGCATTAATTTAGGCCAGCAATTGCGACAACTCATTATGGCTGATTGATTTCCAAACTCATGGTCCCATGTTAGATAAAACTAAAATCTAATTATCTGAGCCCGCAACTCATTAGTCAATCTATTTGATTTTTTAAATAAAGTTTTGGATTTAATCAATAAAATTCATTAATTAACAACATAGTTGATAAATATTTCACTATAAATTATAAAATATAATATTATTGGATTAAAAAAGTAGTATTTCTGCCTAGGTAGCAGGTGAGAATTAGAATTTAGAAGGCTCTGTTTCAAAGTGGGCACATGCTTTACCACCCTTGTTTCTGTAATTCAGCTGTCAGATTCCCCTAAACGACAAAGAACACCCAATTGCCAGCATTTTCTTTGCTCATTTTCATTTTTCACATTCTTAAGTCTTAACCCCACCTTTATGTATTTAACCTAACCTAAAGCATACTACAGTAGTACTAAACACAACACACAAAGGCGAACCTAAAGCAAAAGTTCACTTTCATCCACCGCATACTCACCACATTACTAAAAATGGAACAACAAGAGGGAGACACGTGGACAATGCCGCCGTTCTGGGCGGCGGAGCACCGGGACCGCCGCCGTCTCCGCCGCTCTTACTCTCTGCTACTCACCTCCACCTCCCTCCTCTTACTCTTCCTCGTACTGGTCCTCGTCTTCTCGCTCATCCTAGTCCCCACGTTGCACTCCTTCGCCTCCAACATCCTAAGACCTCGTACGGTTAAGAACAGTTGGGACTCCCTAAACCTCGTACTCGTTCTCTTCGCCATCGTTTGCGGCTTCCTCGGAAGAAACAACGCCAACGAAACTGTAACACCACGTTCCCATTACCACAATCACAGAACCTTCTCCAATCCTTCCACGCCGCCACCGCACTGCTATCACTACAACCACTCTCACACTCCTTATCGTTCCTTTAACAGGCTCAGGAGCTTCAACTCCTACCCCGATCTCCGCCAACAGATTGCCGGAGAAGAACGCTTCCGCTTCTACGATGACACCTTCCTCCTCCGCCACCACCCTCAAGACGGAGAAATAAAAGAAATGGTAATTGAGCACGTTGCCACCGCTCCGCCGCAATCGCCGCCGTCGCAAGCTGTTCGAAGAAATGTCATGCCAGCGTCTCAAGTGGAAACCATTCAGAAGCACGAAGAAACCGATATAGACGGGAAGATTTCACCACCGCGGTCGTCGGCGGCGACACGACCGAAAAGTGTTCGTCGAAATTTCAATCGAGCGTATCAAGTGGAAGCAATCGAGAAACATGAAACAAATGATTTACCTGCGATGGATTCACCGCAGCCGTCGCCGCCGTCGACGAGAACAAAAGGTGTTCGACGACGAAGTGCATACCGAACAAATCACGCGGAAACCATCGAGAAACGGAAAACAAACGATCTAGATTTGGAAAATTCACAATCACCGCCGTCGCCGCCGTCTGCGACGCAAACGAAAGATGTACGACGAAGTGTCAATCCGGAAAGAAATGATATGGTTGTGAAGAGTTCACCGCTGTCGCCACCTTCGCTGCCGGCGGAGGTGAAGACGGTGACGGGTAAGAAGAAAAGAGGGATTGGTACTAAGGAGTTCTTGACATCTTTAAGAGGGAAGAAGAAAAAACAAAGACAAAGAAGCGTTGAAAATTTTGATAGCATTCTACTTGTCGAACCATTGTTTCCACAACCGCCACCGCCGCCTCCCCCACCACCTAGGGTTTTTCAGAACCTATTTTCTTTGAAGAAAGGGAAACACAAAAATAGCCACTCTGTTTCTGTAGCAACAGCAAGCGTATCAAACAAGAAGGAGAATTCCTCCTATAATGTGATGACAACCGGTAATGAGTCACCATTGATTCCTATTCCTCCACCACCACCGCCGCCGCCGTTCAAGTTGCCGGCGTGGAAGTTCCGGGTGAAGGGTGACTATGTTAGGGTAGACAGCATTGGTAGTTCACGAAGTGGGTCACCTGATCTGGATGAAGCTAGTGTGGACACACCAACAACTAGTACTCATGATGAAACAAGCCAATGTAATAGTCCTTTTGCCAGAGATGGTGAAGATTCTGCAAGTGTGAGTGCACCCTCGTTGTTCTGTCCTAGCCCTGATGTTGATACCAAGGCTCACAACTTCATTGAGAGCTTCAGGGCTGGTTTGAGGATGGCCAAGATGAACTCCATGAAGGAGAGGCAGGGGATTGGGAGGTCCAATCTTGGCCCTTCACCTAACCATGAATGGTGAAGATGTTTTGCTTTGTTTTTATTTTTTTTGGATTTTTCTAAACAGTTTTTTCTTAAAGTGAATTGTTCACACACATGTACGTAGGGTTTAAATTCGTATAGAGGAATGAGAGGAGTGGTTCTTGTGTAAAAGAATTCTGACTTGTAGTTGTTGACTTGTTGGAGTGCTCTTTTATTCTGGGTGGAGTGGTTTACGGCTTTACGCTTAAGTATTTGGATGTTGTGACTGTATAATTTGGAATATTATTACAGACTATACTACAAACTTTATTTAATTAATCAATGGACAATTAACATAATTCAAATTTTAGCTCACTGTAAACTAGAATTTATCCACTGAATAGACTTGCCATTTTCATTAATGTTACAAGTACATAGTTTAAAGTTCGATCAAATAAGGAGGATACAAACTTCAATAGATATAACTATTATTCCAAACAAGAATTTACTCATTATTCCATACAAGAATTTACTCGGATATAACTATAAATTAGGAATGCACAAGAAGCAGAAGTATAGACAGCGTAGTGAAAACTGTCTGTGCCAAGAAGATTTGCTTAAAAGAAAAGTGCTTTCAAAAAGCTTATCATTTCCTCTGAGCTAATTGTTTGATTAAATCAGGCAGAGAGTGCTCTTGCTCTACACTTCGAATCCATCTGGCTTTGATACGGATCTGCTCGATGCTCAACTTCAAATTCATAACGATGGAATGGTTCATGTGACTGGCAAAAAATGTTTCTATTTCATCTGCTTTTTCATCACTGTTAACCTGTCACAGATCATGAAATTCAAGGAATGAGAGGTTTCAAATACGAAGGCATATAGATATTGCCACGTTTCATAACTTTGGAATTGGCACCATATAGTGTAATAATTTACTCAGTCTTCATACTTAATTCACATATTGTTACTTAAGATATCAATGCCAACAGCCACAAAAACTCACAGGCTGCCTGCCATGAACAGTTAAATTGCTGTGCCTACGTTGATCGATTCATCAAAACCAAAAACTCACTAATTTAAAGTTTTCTGACATTCTCTGCATTTGCTTACCAGTGGGACTATTTGCCTTATGAAATTGGTGAGTAAAAGTCCAGCACCATATTTGGCCAATATTCTTTCCCAATTATCCTGCATTTGGTGTCAAACGAAAATGAGACCATAAAATCAAAATAGATATGCACTGGTTTTAGATGAATCTCAGAAGTCAGAACTTCTTTCCAATCTACTCCTACTCCTATAGACATTATAAGTTAAATATTACGTACTTGTTGCTGTTAAATATTTTCCACAGTTCAAATATGGTGAATTGGTAAAGACAAAACAAGAATAACTAAGGGAACGTTTACTTCAAGGTATCACATTTCATTCTCAAATTGTTTTCAATCGAATGTAATTTCCGGATATATTTAGAAAAGGTGTTTGGTTATATTATGATATTCCTGGGATAATCTTTTAAAATTTAAAATAATTTAAATAAAAAACAATTAATTAAGAAAGTTACAAGCGTTTTAGAATGTAATTTCTCATACTTCCACCCCTCAACATGGGAATAAACTTCTAGAAAATACAATATGATAACTTTCCCAGAAATAAACGATAGTGAGATTAATTTTTGAAACTCGTAACGAACATGGAAATATTGCAATCCCATAATGCATTCCCATGCTTTCATTGAATTTTTAATCTGGGAAACAACACACTCAAAGAACTTGTTACGATAGAAGCACACACCTTCAACCATCTCCAAGCAGCTTCACTGCCTTCCATGCTTATTCCCGCTAGTACATAAATCATATCTTGATCTGGAATCTAGGAAGATTTCAGATAAACAAAGGTCAAACAAGAAGGAAATTCAGCTGCTTATTACCGGAACTTGCATAAGAAAACTATAATACCTCATCAGACAGCAAAAGATTCAGAACCTCTATAACTACATTTGGATCTGCACTTGATGCAATACAACCTGCATGAATTTATAACGAAGATATTTAATCAAGTGACTTAGCGCTTTAGCTACTGTGATGCTGGTTATGGAATTTGAGAAGTTGAATTCAGTTTAAATGCTTGGGTCATACGTAAAATTTTTTCCCTTTCTTGCAATACATCAGTACTCCTATAGAAACTCAACAGGGACTCCAATCCAGTCCTATTTTCGGTGGTAGTATTCCTCATTACAGCTACATAAGCAACCTGAAAAGTATTTTGCAAATATACATGTAAAAAAATAAGTAGAATCAAAACAATGATGCAATGATATTGTCAGAAAAAAAGAAGAAGAAGAAAGTTGATGTTACCTTTCTAATGTTGGCTGGAAGTAGAGAAGTATTTCTGTCATCTAACAAAATCTGAAAGCGGCGTAATGCTTCTTCCTGTGTTTTATCATGATCAAAGGTAGCCAAGGCTTGAAAAACTTCTCCTCTCAAGAGTGAAATAGAATGATCTTCACCTGATTTAGAATCCCAACCTAACTGTCTGCACAAACAGTAAACTTAAGCTAGTATGTCATTTTCCTGTAAGAGCAGGCAACAGATTTTAAAAGGATTCTAATGAAGTATTCAGAAGATAAAACATAGAATTAAGGAATACAGGATCAATTATCAGGTTGGATACATAACATTATGCATACAAAATTCTCTGATTTTAGATATCGGTATCCCTATAGACATATTGATTTTATAAGTGCACAACTTTTATGGACAAGGCATCTATAAGCTCCAAATTGGATATAAATTCACGACCAAAGTAAATATTCACTCAAAGAAAAAGTCCAATCATGAAGGTGCTTTATTTTGAGCGAAAAGGGAAGAACCCTACTAAAATACATAAAATTTAGTCTTTACTCTGCAGAAAACATGAGAAGGCTGATAAAATATTGCTTCAGCTCATTTACTGAATCTGGAATGGCATCCATGGAGATTTTCAGCACATCAAGACAAACCTGGGATGTAAATTAGTTCTAAAATCATGTTCCTACTAATAAACGCTGAAGTTAATAGAAGTAGATTACACAATACAGAAGTTCCACTTACGTTGATCAGCTTGGATACAATAACATAATCGAAGTCTTTCCTATAAACATCCATCAACATAAGCAAAGTTGATAGTGACTGTTCACAAGCCTGGCAAAGAGCGTTACCATCATCCAAAATGCCTGTAAAGTTAAAGTTTTTTATTCACAACTTGTAACTGATAAATAGGTATAAGAAACTTATAAAATTAAGTTTTCTTCAGAATTGTACTGGACCTCTCATACATATTCATTTCCAATCATGCAATGGTACTTAATTACATACATCATATTCTCTCAAATATAACATGCCTAGAAAAAAGATGTATCAATGGTTTCTATTTATATATTTGCGCACACCAAATTTATCAGTAGGCAGCAAGCAGTTCTGTTGTATGGCTTTCCGCAGCCGAAGTGCAAGCTTGTCTTCATAGTTTACCCTATAAAAACCACTCTGATCAACATTAACTTTGACCCATATATTTTCTTGACTATCATCCTCATACTTCTTTTCATTTGAGTTTGTATCATCTCCAATAGATTGAATCAGTTCAGATATGTCCACCCTTCCATGGCTTGTCTCCAAAAGAAATTTTTTCTGTCTTTCATATGAACCGATAGACATGGTTATAGGAACAATCCATTGTCCATCAACATGTTGGCCAAATAAAAGGAATTGTGACTGCAAAATCAAATGCTACATCAGACAGTCTCCAGTAACAGTTATGTTTTAAGGTGAAATTTGAAAAGCATTGTCAAAGTAAATGGTACTTGTTAGTTTTGATAGAAACTTCATAATACCTGTTTGAATTTCAAAATACCATCTATTAATTCAACATGAATGACTGGATATCCTGCCTTCTTTGTCCAAGTGTTCATCATTAAGTTGGCTGGCACACCAGATATCTCTGAAAGAACATTCCACAGATCTTCTGTTTTTGCATTCTGAGCTTGATATCTTCCTATGTATGTGCTCAACGATTTCTGGTTGTAAAATAAAATATAGAATTCAGAAGGATATGCGCATAGAAAAACAAAAATCATCACCACTTTCAGAAGCTACAAACTACAACTAGCAAAACTGCATGCTAGAAATCCTAACCCTTTGTTTCCCTTCCAAAGAAAGGCTTATTTAAATACCATATTCATGATATCAATCTTGCTAAGAAAAGGCTACTGGAAAGATTATTTCTATTTCAAACATAAACTAGGTTTAAAGCACAAATTATTTGCGGAGATAAAATACAAGGGATAATAGGGGAAAGCACAGTTAATAATGCAAAAAGAACAGGAAGGACCAATTAACTATTCCAAATGGTTACTTAAGCATTCTGAATGCTCAACGCCATTCCAGGAATGGCTATTTTCGGTCTTTCACCTTTAGTTTTGCATCATTAGTTGATAATCTTGTTAATTTTCTCTAAATTAATTCCTTTTCAAGTTGGTGGATCAATTTAGGACAGCAAGTAATAGTATTCTGAAGAAAGTTAACAAAGTACATAAAACTCATTTAGATGAACATCATTTATAGATTTGAATGTAACCTGAAAAGTTTGACATCTTAATGTGGTATAAAGATAGCTTGGCATTTCAACATATAAAATATAGCCACATTCAAAGAAATAAAAATCTTACAGAAAGCAGCATATGTGCACTTTCTGATCCTGTTAGTCTTCTTATGTAAAATTTGCAATGTGGCTAGAAATTATGCAAGTCCAAATTCAGACAAAAAACATTCCAGTTTAAATTTAAAGTAATTTACAAGAAAAAGTTCCAAATCTAATAAACTGTTGTAGTAATATCCAATAAGTACGTAAGGGAAGAAATAAAAAATAGTCTCCTAAATGCAAAGACAATGCTCCACCTCAACAATTTAAGATTTTAAACAAAGTTGTGTCTATTGTTACCTGAAATGCAACATCTCCAAGATAACCCTGCAACATTCTAATCACAGCGGATCCTTTATAATAGCTAACAGCATCAAAAATTTCAATAACTGAGCGTGCATGGTGTATTTCTACCTGAAAATATGCCAATAAAAAGTAAATTAAACCAATAGATTGCTTGGTGCAATAATGCTTGACAATTACATTTGTAATGTTACTACCCTTTTCTTTAAAGAGGGGAATAAGACACAAACTAAAACCCAAGATTGAAAAAAGTGAACCATGCAAGGCATAATTACAAATATTGACAACTTCTTACCTCGATTGGATGTGATTTTTCTAGGGCATCCATTCGTAAACCATCGGCAGCATCTAGAAGAAACTTACTCCAAATGTTCCACTCTGGAAATAAGATGTCAGTGGCCATATAACTTACCTGCAAACATGATGGCAAATTTGAATATCATTCACAGATGGTTTGTTAAATAAAAACAACCAGGTTAAGAGAACCAATTACCCATGTTGCAAAACCTTCATTGAGCCATAAATGAGTCCACCATTCCATAGTTACCAGATTGCCAAACCATTGGTGAGCTACTTCATGTGCTGTGACAATTGTTATCTAAAGGTAACAAGTGAAGACTAATACATGGTTGATTATAATTATGCATTTCATGAGCATAGTAAATGAACAATAATCATAAGCCCAATAAGAGATTCCACATCAACTAGTGATAAGGTCATACAAGTCATGAGCAATCATCATTTTATAAACCGGTTTAGGGTTAAGTCTAAACCTACATTCTAAGATGATGCAGAGACTGTCTTAGTGAATATTAATTGTTGTTTTGTTTAACAAGTCACCTACTATTGGACCGTTATCAAACTACTCGTAGATGTTCAGTTCTACAAATTTTATATTTGAGATATCCAGTATTTTACATGAAGGAAGTGTGTTGAAGATTACATATGAACTAGGTATAAGGCCAAAATATTGTATATATGTGAGGAACAATCCTCATCTTACAAATCGGTTTTGTAGGGTTGAATTAGACTTCTAAGACCTAAAAAACACCCACAAAAAAAAAAGATAAAATTTTCAATGCAAAGATAAAAATGAGGTATTAGAAAGCTTAGCTCTAACTTACTCTTTGCTTCTTGGCAGCTGTAGAGTATAGGTCATGGTAAAGTAGTTCATTTTCACGGTACACAATCAAACCATAATTCTCCATGGCTCCACCAGAAAATTCAGGAACTGCAACTAGATCCAGCTTAGACAGCGGATAAGGCACTGAGAAGTACCTAGATGATGTCAAAAACTTTATCAACTAACATCAATGGCAGAAACTTACATATGGGGACAAGAGAAGAAAAAAACCCTGAATTACCTGAACCAAGAATGAGAATTAATGTATATTTCTGGGATTATTTCCTTTATTATTTTATTTATATGATTAGATCAGCTACTTCAAAGGCAAACTGGTCTTCCATAATTTTTCCATTGATAATAGACCCCACACTGGATCATTTACTTCTTTCTTCACTTTTTTCTCCTCATACAAGGATAGAATTCAAATGAAGGAAACTGTTATTAACTTCCATGTTTACCACATGGTCTACGAAGTCTATATGTTCAAATAAGAGAAAACAGTGGTAAACTATCTTCACCACTCATAAAAATGCTAAAAAAATTACGACTAATTTATACGACACATGATGTATACTAATGGTTGCTTGATCTCTAGATTGTTTGTTAACAAAATTAAGGTGATTAAGTTTCCATGAAAAGATTTATGCACAAAATGGGTCTTCTCAAAATAAAAATAAAAAGGGTAGAATAATTATAATTCACTTGGTAAATATGTCTAGCGACTTCACAGCTATATCCATTGCAAGCTTCCCTTGATCTTTCTTTCCAACAGCACAATACACACGAACCTTAACCCCTATAAAACAGTTAAAAAATCAATCAAAAGTAGCACAAGAGGATTGAATAAACAAGTGCATTTAGTTTATTATGGCTCATCTGCATACCATCAATAGTTGTAACCTCGTTATAGTCAAATAGGCCAACAACAACAGCCACCAAATAGGTTGACATTAGAGGAGACTTCTCAAAATAAAGAGTCTTCAATACCCCATCAAGCTTTTCATTTTCAACTGGCATATTGGATAATGCAGTTAACTCTGATGGCACAGTAAGTGTGACCTTGAAAGTTGCCTGATTAAACAATTAACGCTTGTCAAAGAAATTAGCCTGACCATTGATTAAGGAAAGCAGTAAATAGAATTACATATACCTTCAGAGCAGGTTCATCCCAACATGGAAAACACCGTCTTGCATCCACTGCCTCAAACTGAGTAACTGCCATGTTTTTCTTCACTCCTCCATCAACATAAGTGCTATTTAATTGACATTCCCCGTCAATGTAAAAGTTTTTATACGGTAAACTAATTAGAAATTATAAAAGTCAACTTACTACATATGACAGATTGTGATTGAAATGATAACAAAATCTTTTACACTATTTTACCATTTTAAGAATGCAAGTTTGTAGGATTATATACATGCGGATGGTTTGATAGTGGTTGAGATGATCATATAACAATTGCTATATTAGGCAACCCACTTATATACATAATTTGGGTTGTGAGATCTCCAACAAAAGCAAAGAAAAAAAATATCCAACACATTTTGACAAAATGAAAATGTCAATGTAGCTTTTACCTCCAACGTACACCTTATCTATATGCTACCAACTACAATGTCTTGCCTAAGAAACTAAGAAATATATAACAGAAAATAAGAGAAAAGGACGCACCATTTGTATAATCCTGTAAGTTGCTCATTGAGAATCCCAGAAAACTCAATCCTCAAGACTCCTCCAACACTCAGTGTTTCATCAAACACCAGGACTAGTATCTCATCATCATTATCCACAACAACATCACTTGGAGTGTGCTGCTGAAGAAATTAAGACCAAAAGGGTCACCAAATCCCACTACTACAAATTCACTATGTGCTTAAAAAAGGTTTTGAATTTGATCACTAAAAACTCACCTGTCCTTGAGAGTTGGTGAAGCGAATATTTTGGATGACAAGTTCCAGGGCGTTTAAGACAAGAAAATTGGTGCTCTCATTGATGGTGAGGCTAATTTGGACGGTGCCAGTAAAAGTACATGAAGAGAGATCAGGTGTTAAATGAAGTTCGTATCTTTTCGGAATAGCAAAACTGGGTAACCTTGTTTTGCCTTTGAATTTGTCTATGCTCTGCTTCTGATCCATTTTCCTCCTATGATTTTGCTCTTGCTTTCTTAATTTTTATAACTTGAAGGTGATGAAGTCTATTTAAAAATAAAGAAACATGATCATCGAACCAAAAAGGGACAGATACTTTCTTGAATTTTCAAAGAATTAGATGATGATTATGTCCACTCCACATATATTTTTTAAACATAGTGGAAAATTTTCAAACACATGATTTCATTGATTTGACGCTGTTATTGTCATGGGCACATGCTAATGCTTGTGCTTCGCAATTAGATAATCCAAACAACCAATAAAAAGGTTTGTAACTTGCAAGTTGGAATGTCTTTAACCACTTCTACATATTGCCTTAACATTCAGAAAGATTTTGTAAGTAACATTATAATATTGCTTGATAATTTTTTTTTTTATTTGATAAAGAACATGTCCCTATTGAGATAAAGTGTATCTTAATCTAATCTCTTATTAAAGAATTATTAAAAAATATAAATGTCAAACTACAGTGTTAACAACATTTTATTAATCTATACTAATGTATAAAATGATAAAGTATTTGGTTGATTTTTAAAAACGATTTTACCCCTATAACTTATCCCAAACCACTTACCATTCACATTCAATTAAAAATCATCCACATAACTTCTACTATTTCTATTTTATTTTATATTTTAAATAAATATATAAAGACATGAAGTTACTCTTTTCTCTTAATTTTTATAATAATTACTTTAAAATCTACAAATAACGTAATTTTGATATATTGATAATATAATTTTTTATATTAACAATACAGTAAATTAAACTTTATTTATAAAATATGAGTTTAATTTTCAAGCAACTAATTATAATAAAAAAATTTAAAATAATTATTATAAAATTAAAAAATTTAATATTCATGAGATTAATTATTCATTTAATTCATCTAATTGTATGGAATGCATACCCATTTTTTGAAATTTAATTGTCATGGTTGATTTCTTAATACAAAAGGTTTGTTTTATTTATAACATTATATAAAAGGATTTTTTTTTAGTAATCACTTTGATTTCATTTTTATACATACCTTTTTACTCTTTTTTTGTCCCAAAAAATCTAAATTATTTATCTTTTTTAAGTACTGAAATTTCACTAATCACGTGACATTTTCTTTTAATTGATTTCCATTTATTTTTTGTTTTATACTTTACATGCCACTATTTTTTTTTATAAAATATATAGAAACATAAAGTATCTCAGCACTAATTTACATTAAAACTAATATAATAATTCATTTTTTTTAAATATATGGAGTCATTTCTACTCTCAAAATTATTGTCTTTACACCTTCCATTCTATGAATTAATTATTGTGTTATATTAGTTTCTTTTAATTTATGTTAATTTTTCACTAAGTTGTAATATATATTTTTTTAGTCGTAATATTTTTATACTTACCTTTATTATGTTATACCAATTCATATATATATATATATATATATATATATATAAATAAAAAAGTACTATATGCTATTATCTAAATATATATTTTAAAAAAATGAATAAAGAAAAAAATGTAATTGTCTAACTAATTTATTTTTACATAAAAATCTAATTTTATAAAACATAATTTTAAAATACCAAATTTTCTTTACTTTTTATTTAATTTCAATCTACTAAATAATCACAAATTTTACTTCATTTCTTATCTATTTTTTATTATATTAATTCTTACTTATTATCTTCTATTTTCTTCTTTTTTCCAAACTAAGCGTTGTTAGTAATTACTTTCCTCAGTTGTATAATAATAAACTATGATTTTCATTTATCTAAAAGTTTAAATATATTTTTAATTTTTTAAATTTGAAATAAATTTATTTTTAATCCATCAATTTAAAATTAGGTTTTTTGTCCCATAATATCTAAAAATCTTATTTTAATTATTATATCTAAATTTTGTTAAATTTTTTTTTAAATATTATCACATAAAATTTACTTATTAATATTTTTATTAATAAAAACATTATATTAAATTTTAATACTACATAATTATCTACATATGTCTTTTTTAAATATTTTATTAGCAAAACAATTTTTTTTTGTGAAGATTATATTGCCTAAAAATAAAAATATTCAAAATCTCTCTTCTGATTTGTTCATGGTCCAACCGAATGTTCGAATCTATTTTTCTAAGATTCTAAACCCAACAACACACTATTTTTGTCTTTGGATTTTGGTTTCTCGCAAATCTGAGGGTTCGGTTTTTTAGAACCAAAACCTTCGCTATTTTCCTTTCTCTTCTCTCCATACTCCATTCCACAAAACCCTAATTTCTAAACCCTAAACCTCTCGCCATGTCCGATCCCGAACCAAAAACCCGAACCCGAACCTACAACCCTTACAAGGACCTCGACGTCCCAATCCAAAACCTCTACCACCTCCCAACTTCGCCGGAGTTCCTCTTCGTCGAGGAGGCCCGCCGCACGCGCCGCTCCTGGGGCGAGAACCTCACCTTCTACACCGGCTGCGGCTACCTCGCCGGAGCCCTTGGCGGCGCCACCGCAGGCCTCGTCGACGGCGTCAGGGCATTCGAGTCCGGCGACACCGCGAAGCTCCGAATCAACCGCGTGCTGAACGCGTCGGGGCACTCGGGTCGGGCCTGGGGGAACCGGGTCGGGATATTAGGGTTGCTCTACGCCGGAATCGAGAGCGGGATCGAGGCGGCGAGGGACGCCGACGACGTGTGGAACAGCGTGGCGGCGGGGCTCGGCACCGGCGCGCTGTACCGGGCGGCGAGAGGGGTGCGATCGGCGGCGGTGGCCGGAGCTTTGGGCGGCGTTCTCGTCGGAGTCGCCGTGGCGGGGAAGCAGGCGCTGAAACGATATGTGCCTATATGAATATGATCGTCACGTGGTTTGTGCGTGACACGAAAATTTTCAATTTTTTTTATAATTTATCAATTTTTGAGGGATAATTGAGGTTAATTTAAGTAATAGGGTAGATTATTAGTGTGTTATATTATATCCTATATGTTGTTGCTGTTGAAGGCACTAGGGTCTTGCGGGTTGCAAAGTTTTGGTGGAATCCCATAACGGTTTCAATGTGTAATTTGTTGAGTCATTTTGTGATGAATATTTATTAGTTGGATATGGATTATAGTATTAAAAATAGTAATTCTTGTGTTTCCTTGTTCTTCTGTTTATGTGATGGGCTTAGCTAGATGTATATGATTTTGTTTGGTAGATTTTATTTTTTTGCACTTGTTTTCCAATATATAAACGATTTTGTTAGCTTTGGTGTTGTTAGTTTTCCGTGGAAATGATTGTTGGCAATTTAACATGGATGGAGTTTTGATGGATTTTTCTACCCTTCGGTGAATTTGTGTGATGTTTTGCTTGTATGGTTCACCACCTTACCCTTGTACTTTGAAGGTTATATAGTAAAATTGACAATGGCTTTTAATTATATCATGTGAGCTCTTAATTAGTGATGATGTTTACTATGTTATGTTTCAATAGGCACATGAAGAAGCAGTTGAGGGTCAAGAGTGGAGTGGTTATTAGAGTGATGATGTTTACTATGTTTAAATGCTTGTTTGTTCGAAAATCATGCCTGCTTGAGTTGATTATTAGAGTTTGCCTGTTGCTGTTATTGAGTGGCTTGACAATAATAATAATTCATTGGTTATGATAAACTGGATTCGTAATTAAACCGACAGTTAGAAGGGGAATTTGATCGAGCATATGGCAAAGTTATTCATGTAGATGAAATGAAGTTTTGCTTGCGATGCAACGCCCTCAACTTGATGTCAAGCTGTGTAGTCATATATTGGAAATGACACAGCAATGATTCGTATGTTGGCAGATTTTATCCCCTTTAATTCTCACTATTTTTCAAGTTGTGTGTAAAATTATCGGTGTATTTTAACCATGATTAACAATTTGAATAAATAAACCAAAGAAAAAAAAATCATCGTATATTCTTTCAAATAATAGTCAATACTATTTCAACAGTTATTATTTAATTATATTTTTATATTGTGCAGCATTATGGTTCTAGATGAATTCAAAAATTAGCTATTTACATTCAAGTTTCGTTAATCCGAACATGTGGTTAACTGCATTTATAAATATACTTAATTGTCTTGTAAGTTATTAAGAATAAATAAATATAAATATGAATATATAAAATTATTGATAGATAGTTATAGTATTATGAGATTATTAAAATGTCTAATAGTAATTCATTGTCATACAAGTATTTAATATTCATTGTCACATGTGATTAAAGTTATATACGTAAATTATTAATCATATTAGTTAATGTAAGTGGTAATGGTTTGTGTCTTTTAATTAAAATGTTTATGATTCAAATCTTTATCTTAGTTATGAAACAGATTATGTTGAAAGCATATATCTATTTTGTATGTACTCACCATTTTCAATAAGGATTAATCAATATGTTTTTAAGTAAATGTTTTGTATCAATATTATAGTTAAAATAATATAAATATGACTAATTTTATTTTTCAAATCATTAAAAAAGTAAATAATTTTTTTTTAATTTATTAAAATTACAATGACAAAAACGAATCTAAAATTCCGAGTATACTGGTAAATGAATATAACTATATTCGATTATTGATATATTTTAATAGTGTTATAAGATTATTAAAATTTGATGGTTAATTTTGTAATACGATGTTATTTTATTGATTGTCATGTAATTAACTATACATGTAAATATAATTAATTACATAGACATAATTATATACAATTATCAATCAATGTAATTAACAGTGTCATGAATCAGCTCTAAGAAAAGTGTCATGACTCATGGATAAATGTCAAATGCAGAAATAATCATTGTTCGAAAGAATTTTTTTATTTTTTCAACTTTCGAGTTAAAGTTATCATTTTTATTTAGAATATTTCACTTGCCTTTTGAGATATTGAATTAAATTTTTGTCCATTTTATCGTCAACTAACTTTTTTCTGGACAGTATTTTTCATTATCTAATAGTCAATATTTCAGACAACTAGTTTTGACCTTCTGATGACTTTAAAATTTTAGAAGAAAAAAATAAACAAATGTTTGTAAAACATTTTACAAGTGAGCTGTTTCAAATATTTCGTTTTAAAAAGTATTAAAATTAATGATAGGGCGCCAAAAATTAGTTGAGTAATGATGAAAATTTCGAAGAGGGGAAAACTGATCCTGTTAGGAGTTAATTTATTTTAACACAAGAATATAATTTACCTTATAAAATAAGGAATAACAATTTAAATTTTATGTATATTTTTTTTAAAATTATCAACTAAACAAAAATTGTAATGACTTCAAAAATAGCTATTATTATTAAAGTTAATAAACTTAACATTAATATGTATGACAAATTGTAATTAAATAACAATGCTTTGCTGCTTTTACTATATCTTAAGGAAGAATCGATGATTTGATCAAAATAAAATAAATTAAAACTGAAACAAACCGAGTTCGTAAAAGGCATATCTTTAACACAAAAACATATAATTTATATAGGGTTTGATTGACGTTTAATTTATTACCATTTTTGCGATATAAAGTCACATACAAGCATTTTAATTGGAAAGACAATACTTGCTGTCACATTAAGGCTAACTAAATAAACAAGAAAGTGAGGGTTATAAGAAATTAAATATGCGTTCTTCAAAATATTTGCAACATCTAACCAAGAAAATGTTGCATATTCATCTGTTTGTATCAAGGGGCAGCTTTTTCTTGTGAGAGCACAAATTTTGGGTTTAAATTAAATGCCTCATCTACCCTCTCTTATTAAAAAAATTACAAATCTGCAAAATTTATTTTCAGTGATTAAACACTTGAATCAAAAATTAGTCAGGGATACAATCAACCAAACCCAAATGGGTCATAAAGAAACACCCAGGTGAACAAAATCTGATCCCCCGCCTAACAATATCACTTGAAAGGAATTTAGTACGTCATGGGAGCCTTCTCTTTCTTACAACAACATGGATTCTGGATTTTCAATATAGCCTTTGAATGCTTTTAACCATTCGGCACCAATTGCACCTGAACAGAACAAAATGCATTGTTAACATGTTTTACCACAAAACAATCATAGTTTTTAGTTACAACAAATTTAAGAATAAGAAGCAGCGGATTAAGAATGATTACCATCTATAACACGATGATCACAGCTTAGGGTCACGGACATGAAGGAAGCAAACTTGAATTCTTCAGCCCCCGAACCCGGAACGACCCTCCTCTCAGCTGCTCATGTAGTCAGCAATGCACGAAGATAATCATTAAGAAAAAAGCGACTGCAGTTCATAAACAAAATAAAAAGGGAAGGTGATCAAAATGTCCTCACCAGATCCAACTGCAAGAATGCCTGACTGAGGAGGATTGATGATTGCACAGAATTGTTTGACACCATATGGCCCTCCCAGGTTAGAAACTGTAAATGTACCTCCCTGTAGTGCAAGCAACCCAAAATTTCATAAACCAGCCCAAGAGGTAGTTATTCACAGATGAATAAGAATGCACATGAAACTCCAATTACCTCGTAATCTTGGGGTTTCAAGCTGTTTTCTTTGGCTTTCTTTGCCAATTGTTTGACCTCTTCCCCTATTGTAGAGAGGCCTTTCTTGTCCGCATCCTATATATTATGAATACAAGGTCAAAGTTAGGACCTGTGATTGGAATAAAGGCTTTAATTTAATTGTATCTGAAATATTAGAAAGAGGTAAGTGCTCACCCTGACTACTGGAACAAAGAGCCCCTGATCAGTCTGCACAGCAACATTAATGTTCACATTATGATACCTGCACAAAAACAAAATAAAAAATGTTACAATTAAAGGAAAACAAAAATTTGATCGCAATACTACATTAAAAATTGTTGACTTACTGGCGAATATAATCATTTGTCCATGAACTGTTGCATTGAGGAACTTTGCGGAGAGCCAAAGCAGCAGCCTGCAATAAAAAACACAAGCATAAAACTAGTCTAATTTTTTGTTTTTACAATGTTGGCAATGAGGTTTGAACTTATGACCTAATGCAAACTACCCAAGCCCATGCATGAAACTTAGTTAATATGTATAGTTAATATCTCCTACATAGAACTGGCAGTTTAAGTTAAAAAAGGTCTCTTGTGTGATTTGTGAGACACGAATTTTGAGCCACAATTGCAGCTCAGATAACTGAAAACCCCCTCTCAAGGTTGAGCGGTGATGATGCAACAACATTAGGCTAAAATCACTTTCACTACTGCATTTTCATAACCAAAAGAACTAATAGAAATATAGAATTGAGAATGTGTTGTGCCTGAACTCAACACCCAAAAACTAGCACCAATTATTGGGAGTACTTTGAACTATTATAATGGATGGAGAATGGAGAATGGATTAAGCCTTACAAGAACTATTAGGAGTAGTTTGGCCGTATAGTCAGCTAATGTGGGATCTTAACACACCCGTCATGCCTAGGATTGAACATATGGAGCATCATGAACTTTGTTGGGCTGGACATTTGTTGATTGCCCAAACTTTGATATCATATTAAAATTGAAAACCAATTGGTTTAACTCCACCCAAAATAGACTAGTTCAAGGAAGGAGGATTGTCCAAGTCATTATAAGGAATACTTTAGCCATATACCTAGTCAATGTAAGATCTTAGCCATAACCATTCCCCAATTAAAGACTTAACTTTTCCATTCACAATGGGCACACATGCTAATGTAATGCTCTATGAATTGTTTAAACCTAAAATTCACGAAGGTCTCTAATTTTGTAAGTTATTAGTAAAAAGGATTTAAAGAGTCTACGATCTAGTGTGCCCAAATAAAGACAGAAGTGGTCCCTAAGAGAAAAAACTGTCGAAGTGACACTGTCATTTTGTTCTAAGCTAACAAGAAGCAAGTGAAAGTCATTCAATATGATCTTAGCAGCCATTTCATTCAACTAGTATATTCATTAGATATGATGATGTCCTTCCCTACTTATTAAACACCAATTAAAAAACACAAACAAAAGATAGAAGGATGACAATATGCAAATTACAAGAACAGATATATTGCCAAAGAAAAATTCAATACCTTGATTACAAGGTCATTGACTGATATGCGGGCCCCACCAGAGGCTTCTTGCAATGAATTGAGGTGGGTCCGCAAACTGCAGAAAAGGAGT